TGGCAACAAGGCCCAGAGAGCTCAAGGGTTTTACTTGAAGTCACCCAGCCAGACACAGGTTCAAATGCAAGCAGTCTAGCCTTAACTCTTGTACCACACTGCCTTGTGGAGGGAGACTGGTAAGCAGACAGGGAGAGTCTAAAACCAGACATGAGGAGGGCCCAGGAGGAGGAAGGGAGAGACGGGGATGGACTGAGGACCGAGAAAGATGGAAACTTAGACCCTGGAATGGTGGCTCAGCCTGCAATCCCATCGCTCGGGAGGCTGAGGCAGGAGGGTTCCAAGTTTGAAGACAACCCGGGCTACATAGGAAGCCTCTCTATTCAAAAGCCACAGGAGCATGTCTGGTGAGATGGCTTAGTGGGTAAAGATACTGCAAAGCCAGAGTTTGATCCCTGGGACCCATTTGGTGAAAGGAGAGAACTGAGTCCCGAGGTCCTGTGACCTCCACGTGCAGGCCCATACATGTACACACACACACACACACACACACACACACACACACACACACACACACACACACACACACACGATGAGAATATACATGCAATTTTCAAGGGGGGTGGGCTTGAGCTGTAGTTAAATTGGGTGGGTTGCTGGCCTAGCATGAAGAAGTCTTGGATTGGACCCAATGCTGCGCACATAGGTTGTGGTGAGCATCACTTGAAACCCCAGCAGGTGGGAGGCAAGGTCATCCTCAGCTATCAGGCAAGTTTGAGGCCAGCCAGGGCTACAGCAAACAAACAAAAACCAAAACCCTAAGGGTGGAAGGTACAGCTGAGCAATATATAGCAGAAGGGAGAGAAGAGGACTCTGTGGGACTCCCAGAGCAAGCCGGGGTGGGTGGGGCTGTTTGCCACCCCTGCCTGTGAGGCACCTCCTGCCCAGTTGCCTCTGATTGCTATGCGGGGTGGGGATGGAAAATAATTGCCCAAGACTTGGTTGGATTTGGCCTCCTCGGCCAGGGAGGGAGAATGGCTCTCCTACCCTCCTCCCGCCTTGGGAACCGGATGGACCAGGGTTAGACCTTAGGGAGCAGACAGCACTGAGGCAGGCAGAATGACTCTTGTTGGTGGCTGCAGCACCCGTACCCCTCAGAAGAGCAAAAGAAACAGCTGGCGCAGGACACCGGGCTCACCATCCTGCAGGTCAACAACTGGTGAGTGGCTGGGCTCAGCGCTGTCCGTGGTGCTGAAACCTCATCTCCCACCCCTTGGCCTTCACCACCCAGATGCCGATTCCTTCAGCTGTCCCTTCTTGTGGCTCTCTGACCCCCCTGAATACTTCCTTACACTTTTTTCCCTTGCCCCTGACACTTCCCAGGTTTATTAATGCCCGGAGACGGATCGTTCAGCCCATGATTGACCAGTCCAACCGCACAGGTACACAAAAGGGCAGGAAGTTCCAAGTCCCAGGTGGGACCAGACCTTCCATGCCTGAGTCTGTACTCTAATGCCTTTGGAGGTTTTCTTGAGCTAATCTTGTAGCTTAGTCCCCTCTTGGAGCTTCTGTGGTTTCATCTGAACCCCAACTCCCTTCTCTGGGTTCCTGGGGCTCTGTCTGTACCCCAAATGCCAACTTCTTTTCTATAATAAGTATTGACAACTTTGTATTTTATTTCTGAGACTGAGTCTTACTATGTAACTCTGGTTGGCCTATAACTCACTCTGTAGACCAGGCTGGCCTTGAATGCACAGTGATCCGCCTATCTCTGCCTCTCAAGGGCTGGGGTTAAAGGCGTTTATCACTTCATCTGGCTCCAACCCTGTTCTTATGACTCCTACGGGGTCTATCTCATTGAAACTCTCTCTGAGGGGCTCCTGAGCTTCTGCCTGTGTCCCAGCCCACTGAGGAACTTCCAAGCCTCAGCCTCAGGCCCCTCCACAGGTCTTGTGAAACTCTGCCTTCACTCCAACACCTTTGTAGGCCTCCTGGGGTTCACCATACACCCCATCTGCTTTCCTAGGGCAGGGTGCATCTTTCAACCCTGAGGGCCAACCCATGGCAGGCTACACAGAGACTCAGCCACAAGTGACAGTCAGGACGCCAGGTAAGTTCCCTATCTCTGCTGAGCAACTTCCTATGCCAGGCCACAGCTGCACACAGGGAGCAGAACACAATACCACTGGTCGGCTCTAGTTCTTTTTCTTCCTCCAACTCCTCCTCTTCCACGGTGTTTTGAGACAGAGTCTATGTAGTTTTGGCTGTCCTGGAATTCACTCTGTAGACCAGGCTGGTCTTGAACTCACAGAGGCACGCCTGCGTCTGCCTCCCAAGTACTGGGATTAAAACCAGGCTCAGAACCTTCTTAAACACTTGACCCACCTAATCCTGGTGAAGGACCCCGGGTAACAGAAGGAGAGAGGAGGTCTTAGGGCATCTGTGGGCAGGAAGGCTCACTGGCCCTCTCTTTTGCTTTTCAGGATCAATGGGGATGAATCTGAACTTAGAAGGAGAGTGGCATTACCTATAGAGGCTGGGGTCGAAAGGAAGGTGAGTTTCCAAAGTCTAGATTGGCAGTCTCAAACTTTGTTAAACTCCAGCCGTGGACCCAACTAGAGCAGTGCCAGTGTGGGGCCCTGAAATGAGAATTTTCCAAGCTTCATCCATCCCTCCATCTACCCATCCATCCCTCTGCCTACCCCATCCATCATCCACCCACCTGTCTACCCATCCATCCATCCATCCATCCATCCATCCATCCATGCATCCATCTACTCCCCTATTCACTCATCTGTCATAGGAACCAGTGCAGTACCTTTTGACTTGGCCTATCTTCCCTTCCACAGGCCTTAGCCTCCAGACTGTGACCACCAGCCTTGTACTTAACTGGTCCCCACTGGTCCTTGGACTTCAGGACTTTGCCTCCAAAGCTCCCACCCCATTCAACGCCTACCTCCCTGGGGCCCCCAGAGGCTTGGGGACCCAAGAGCCCACGTGAGGGCCTCTCAAGGGCAAAGACAAAGCCTCCAGGTCCTGCACCCTTCTTCTGTCCTCCCCTTTGCCCAGGACCTGAGCTGAGAACTGGGTCAGGGTCTACAGAAGATGGTGGCTGGGGCCCCAATCTGGGACAGAGAAGGGATTGGGGTTGGGCTAGGATGGTCAAGGAAGGAGGGTCACCAGGATCCAAAGTTTAGGAGAGTCCCCTCCACCCTCCTGCCTCGCCACCCCCCTTCTCTGACGTTCTTCTACTTTTCTTTTTTTAATGATAAAGTCTTAAAAACACAAACCAAAAGTCTCCTTTGTCTTCTAAGAGTTCAAATCCTTGCTAATTTGAAACTGAAGAATCACAAACACTAACAGTCAATGGCTGTCTTTCTCCTGATCCCTGCTCTGAAATACCATGTGCGTCCGTTAGATGCCGCTGCGTAACAAGCTGCCCCCAAATTCTGTGGCTCAAAGTGTATAACATTGTTGAGGTTAGCGTGCTTCTGTTTGGCCTCTCATACTAGGCAAAGCTGGACTTTAAAGGTGGTCACGGG